GATATTATTTTTTCTCGTAATCCAATTTTGTTTTTACTTCACTGGTTATTTTATTTAACGATTGTCAACGATTAAGTAAGTACCAACAGAATGGAGGAACACGAATTTCTGTTAATTTTGTTTCTGATGCAAATCAAATTGTAGGCCTACACACGTCCGAGCTTGTCAAAATAAAAGCAAAGAATGACAATCTGCGCTTGTTTTCGCCGTGCATTCTGAGAGAGCGGTAATTACAAAGAAATAATCATAATCTATTATGTAATATTTCAAAACGCCCCGCGATACCAGTAAGCATTTTTATCAGTTATTGATTTCTCGGAATCTATCCAGCAACGCTTGAAAATGCAGCGAATAAACTGTCTTGTTAGCCACCCCATCCAGTTGATTAATTAGTTGATTGATTAATTAATAATGTAATTACACGCAATCCGACGGCGTTTATACTACACACATAACTTTGGCGGGCTGAGAATGCGGATATTGGTGTGTTGTATAAACGGGCCCAAGACTCATGAAATGCCCAAGCCTAAATATACTATAGGCATATTATACTTTATCAAAGACTCATGAAATGCCCAAGCCTAAGGCCCTTAAGGATAAAATACATGACTTACATTTAGGAAGGACTCCTCAATAATATTAGGTTGTAGAGGCCTTATTGATTATATTCATTACAATTACACTATTTCTAAAATTGCATTTTAACTTTTTTACAAACAAGCCACAGCTTGGTACGTATATGTTTAATACATTCAAGGCTATTTTATTTAATTCAGGTGAGTATATACGTATGCTTCACTGCAAATAGTTCGATGATTTTTTGTTGTCAAGACCACACATATTTTGTTCTCAATATCCTTGAATATCTTTAAAAATATTCTATAGAGATTTCTGCGCGTGACAATGTCGTATCTGTTTTAACAAATTTCAGATAGACTCCACTAAGGCTCTGTCTCTGGGTCCGTTCAGGTGCCTTTTAGGGCCTGGCAATAACTATCTTGCACTGGGTGCCCGTCACCACCCCGCTACTTCGCTGGCTTATACTAAACAATTGCACAACTAGCTTTGTTTTAGGTTGTAGAGAGACCTGACAACAGTATTTCGCAACTTAGGCTGTTACAGTTATATTTGGTATTTATAGCTTTTGAAGTTGAAACTTATATATATAAAACTCGTCTAAGCATAGAAGCCAATTTTTTTTTGTTTTTTTTTTTGTTTTTTTTTAAATAGGTCGATAATTTATTGGTTTGTTATATCTGGACAAATGTGTGAAAAGTACATAAACAGTTCTTGGATTGCAACTTCCAATGGCATGTGAATCGTGTTTGGCGAATCATATGCCAAGTTCATGTCCCAAATATCAATAAAATGGATCCCCATTCCTTTAAAAGTATCGTGCATTAGGTTCCGGATCTCGTACAGCAATACGTCACTAGTCAGTCTAGCGATTATGAAGGTTTGTAAGGATTTGGATGAATGGCGTCTCGGATGGGGGCTTTTGATGACGAACTTTGTATCAGGACATTTTTGACGAAAACTGATTATACCAGCTTTGATATGTTCTAATCGACTCAAATAAGCTTCCTTTGTCCAGACCTCATAATGAGCCCACGGGCTTATCATGATTACATAGTGACAGTTATCAGTTGCCAATGAGTCTAATACGTCCACCTCGAACTTGCCTTCACTCACCTTCTCTATACCATTTCCAAGGACATACGGATGAAATTGGAAAGTTAAATTCAGAAAATCAGTAACGATATCGTAGCCTTTACGAGACAAATCTTCAGGTACGTCCACATCGAGATGTAAAAGTAGTTTTTCACACCACTGTCTTGTTGTAGAGTCGCCCAGGAAGATGAGTCGCTTGTTGTTTATACATGTGCGTATCTGCTTTCTGGACCAGGATCTGCTTCGACACGCGAACGAGTGCCAAGTATTCCTGTACCAGAAGCCGTCATTTATTGGTTCAGGCGTGTCCGGCGTGCACTCTGGTCTTTTTATATAATTCATTAACGTTTTGTGCACATTCATCGATTCTTCACCTACGTAAAACCAAACAAAACGAAAACAAAACTCTCATAATAATCAATCAATCTATCAATGTATTTAATTATATGTTTATTATAATTATCGCTATCGTTTCCTATATCGGAATCGTTATATTGTCACCGGCATCGTCGTCATCATCATCATATATATATATTCGAGCACTGTTATTTATGCATTAGTGTATTGTGATTACGGTTCTACGCAGCTACTTATTTTGAATATTATATATTTACTCACAAAAATATACCACGAATTTATAAAGACGTCATACCTGCTCTTTGGATGGTAAATGTATCTGTCCCGTTCGTTAAATATCCAAAATTGATTTTTCTGAAATTTTATGAGATAGTAATTATTAAAACAACAATCACTACGTTAAATTCCTTTAATAAGTATTTATTCATATTACATTTCATAAAATTCACATCCACACAAACAATACATAAAGCACAATTTAAACAAAATATTGACGTAAATGTAGGCCTATGTTACACTACACCGGTGCACACTATGGTAATTGTGGAAATGCCTTGGCGTGGTATCACAAATTACTTCATAGTTCTCATGTATTGGTTTTATCTTCCTAAATCTATTAAATCCATTGCTTATCTCATTGTTTTTCATTGTTTCGCCTAATGGTAACAAATGATGGGAATATATGTCAATGTCAAAATATTGTATCATGTATGCTCGTTCTTTGAGACATTGTGAGAATGAGAAGTTGACAGATGTTTTCATCCTTCCGGATCTCACTTCAGCAACAACATCATAACAGGCTGAACATTTTAAATTAAGAAGTGAATTTGAGGATAGATTGTCTGCCTGGGAAAAAATAGCTACACAGAAACTCTTTCGTGGCTAATCCTCCATATTATTAATAGGTTCATCTCAAGAAAATATTTCCGTTGCAGAAGAAGACTAAGAAAGAATACTTAAGGTTATTCATTCAAATATTGATTCAAATATTGATAAAATAATTGATCTTGAGCGTCCAAACTTAGTTGCACTTACTAAAATAATTTTGCCTGAAAATATTAATGTAAATTATCCATTGCAGAAATGTGAATTTGAAATTCAAGGATATGATTTGTTTACTAGCCGTCTGAATGAAGGGCGAGCTGTTGCGGTTTCTGTTAAGAGTTCTATAGGTGCTTATCAAGTAGAGTCCTTTTTATTGGACGATATTGATGCTGTCTGTATTAATATATAATTACAACAAAAATGATAATTTAATTTTAGGTTGCATATATAGAAGTCCAAATACAAATGATGATAGAAACGAAATTGTGAGGAAACGAATTAACGCAATTTGAGATCAAGATCATCACATGTTTTGATTTTAGGAGATTTTTATTTAAAAGATATTAATTGGGAGATGAATGTCTCCATGTATTTTGATAATCATGTAGGACCTATTTTCCATAGTTGCATTAATGATAATGTCCTTATTCAGTATGTGAAAACTGTAACTCGTAATAGGGAAGGTCAAACTGATAGTTTGTTAGATATTGTATTTACAAACGAACCGGGGATGATTGAGGACGTTAGAAACGAATGATACTTTGCATTTTAGTTGTATTTCCAAATCTGAAAAATTAATAAGTCTGCAATTTATAGTTAATCAGGTGGCGATTATGAAAGTATGGAAACATTTTTGAGCAATGTTAATTGGGATAGAATGGATATACTTAGTAGGGAGGATAGTTGGAAATTCTTTGGATATAAAATAAATTATTGTAAAACTGCATTTATACCTCTGGCAAAAGTAGATTATGAATAAACAACTTAAATCGTAATTGCTTCTAAGCATAAGGCGTGGTTTACATACCATGGTTGTCCAAGCTCAAAGCATAAAGAGGCTTATAATTTCATTAGAAATAAAGTAACTGCAGAAAATCGTTACATTCGTAGTAGTTTTGAAATGATTGCAGTTGAAGCGAAAGCCAAACACAAGTCATTCTGGAAGTATGTAAGGTCCAAGACTAGAACAAAAACTGGTATAGCACATCTGAAAGATGAAGAACATGTTCTTCATTGTGAGGATAGGTCAAACGTGGATTTATTTAGCGGTCAAAGTCATCAGTACAAAATTACAGACCAGTCAGTTTTACTTCAAGTGTTTGCAAAATGATGGCGTAAATTACAAGTAATGAATTATTGCATCTTGAAAATAATCACTTTTAGTTAATTTCCAGCATGGTTTTAGGCCTGGTTATTCTAAATCTCACCACACCACGGACAGGAAAGAGAAGGAGAGGAAGACAGATAAGAAGATGGAAAGACGAACTAGACTCATATATGGGAACAACATCATAGAATAGATCAGCAGAAGACAGAAAGAAATGGAAATTGCTTCAGGAGGGCTTCATCCAGCAGTGGATGAACGTAGCCTAGATGATGATTCTACATCTCAGTTATTGGAATGATTGGACACAGCTATTAGATGAAGGAGAATCCATAGAAGTGATATACCTCGACTTTAGAAAGGCATTCGACACTGTCCTTCTAAAACGTTTGTTACTTAAAATCAAGTCGTTTGGTATTGTGAGAAATATATAATTAAATTCAATCTTTTTTAAGTGGTCGAACTCAGAGGGTTGTTTAATTCATCTTTCTCAAATTTTGTTGATGTTCATAGTGGGGTACCCCAGGGAAGTGTACTTGGACCGATTCTTTTTTAAATTTACATTAACGATATAGCGGATAATTTCCAATCTAGAGTAAAAATATTTGCAGATGATACGAAAATTTACATTTCACGTTCAAGTAATTTGTTGCAATAAGATATGTTTTACAAGAATGGTCAGAAAGGTGGCAAATTCATTGCAATGCTAGTAAATGTCATTGCATGATTGGAAAAAAGAGAGAAGTTAGTGCAGTTTATACTTTAAGAACCAGCATTTCGAGCCACCTGAAGCAGATTGAAAAGGTAGATTCTGAAAAGGATTTGGGTAATTTTTTTAAATAGAAAATTGGATTTTGTGAGTTTAAACATAAAGCCTGTCAGCCTACGAAGTTTACGATTTTGGACATTCCTCAGCCAGAAACCATCACCAAATTGTTAAAAATTGTTGATTTAACTTTGCAAATAGGAAAAATAACAACATAGCATAATAAAAATGTATATAGGCCCTATATATATCTATATATCTATGTAAGGTACGGGTTTTACCCGTATCCTTATACTGTATATTATATTACATGTTGAATTTCTATTCATTTCCTTATAACTTTATTTTGAATTTCAGTCGTTTCTTTGTTTAACTTGGGTTTCTTTGTTCATCACATTCACATTGACGTCTTGATAATTAATACCATGTTTATCTTGATCATGTTAAGTAACGACTTCCGTAGACGCTTTGCTTAAGTGAGTGAGTAGCCCTGTGTTGCTCCGCAAGAATAAGGAGTTCACATTATTAATTCTAGTTTTTATTATATGAATGTATTTTTGATAGAAATCCATGACAGTTATATTTATTTCAACAAATAACTTGTTAGTAAAGAATGTAAATTAACTTTATACTATCACAATAAAGAGTGAAGGATTACTATTGTGGGGAGGCTCATTCCGTGGGTTATTGTAAATAGGATTAGCGCGTCCAATTAAGAAAGTTTGTGGCGCAACAAAGTCAGAAGCCACAGAGTCAAGACGTGAGTAGCCCTGTGTTGCTCCGCAAGAATAAGGAGTTCACATTATTAATTCTAGTTTTTATTATGAATGTATTTTTGATAGAAATCCATGACAGTTATATTTATTTCAACAAATAACTTGTTAGTAAAGAATGTAAATTAACTAAAATATTAATACTATCACAATAGAGTGAAGGATTGCTATTGTGGGGAGGCTCATTCCGTGGGTTATTGCAGGGAGTTGTTTAAATAGGACAGATGGAGATCCAACGCTGGCCTCTAAACATCGATCATAGCCTAAAGGCACAATAAACATATTAAGAACAAACGAACCGCCAATTACGAAGTATTTGTCTAGCTTATGCAAGGCAAGGGTACGTTTTATTAAGTTTGTTATATTGATATTTAATTTGTCAAGAACTAGCACATCATTTATAGAATATTGTTGTACTATATTTTATGATATGCTCTTGCTCACATTTAAAAGTTAGGCCTTCTCTAAGTTGAGAGATAGGCGAGCATCATATTTAGGCTGTTTGACTTGTGCGCCACAAGGCCGCGATTGAGTTCATTGAACTAAGCCTGAGTCTATAGATTCAATGCTGTTTATGATAAATATGGTACAGAGTAATAGATTGTACCACAGGTCCACTAAGGATTGTCATATGAAATATTATGCAATGTATGTCATATACAGTACAATTTAGAGTAGTAAATACGTATAAAGATTAACAAATAGTTGTAACTAGCAAAAGTATTGAGACCAAAGGTCATGCTAGCTACGCTCGAGTTTTGTGTTGAAAGAATATGTTATCTTGGTTATAACAGGCATTACAGTAAATCTGGTACAGAAGAAGACTCATGAAAGTTAATCTTAGCGTGAAGCTAATGAAAGGTGGGATTGTGTTCCTTTGTTTGATTAACTTGATTTGATGATAGTGTAATGACTATAGATTATTATTTGTTTCTGTAGAATTATTATTATGTGTTATAGTATGATCATTCTAATTATTATTCTTATGGTGTGTTATTATTATCATTATTATTCTTACGATGTGTTATAAATGATTGCAGTTTGTATTTCTATCATATCTTATAGATATGATTAGATTATGATTATTATTTTATTGCCATTATCGATTGTTATGTTTTATACATAATGCTGACAATTTTATTACTTGATTATTACAATTATTACGGATTATATTACTATTTTTGATTGTATTATGTGTATGATTGATAACTATTGTTATGACGCCAATTATCATTCTAGTTAACTGTTAATTTAGTTAAATGATTCTTGCTTGCATGTTATAATTTGAAGCAAGGCAATAAGCCTACTGAATCAATTATCTATGTTAACTTAAAATATGTTGCAAGCACACTGTATATAGTGATACATTGATTATTAATATAGGTGTTATTTTGTGGTAAAAGCCAAGGTTTCCCACTAAGTTTAATCCCATATTTAATCTTATGCATTTATTATTATGTGAATGTCAATTGTAATTGTACCTCACAATAACTGCACATTACATGATTGCTTTGGTTATTTACAGGACATTGGAGTATGAATATTGATATATGTATTTTATATTTTACTTTATTTTCTAGCTTGACGTATGCTGGCATAGTGCCCGTCAAGTTGGGGGTTTTTCCAGTTATGCTTTGTTTGTCTTATGTTCTCATAATTCCTAGATCCTAGTTCCTATCCGAATAAATATAGCATTGAAATCAACATCATCTCTGGCTATTATTTCTCCTGTGCAAGAT